TTATAAACCGAAACAGTTTTTAATGATGATGAAAATGAGGACATATAACAGATTATTTCTTATAGACAGGGGTCAGTAGTCCCAAACAATCTTAATACGGGTTATAACATCACCAGTAGTCCCAAACAATCTTAATACGGGTTATAACATCACCAGTAGTCCCAAACAATCTTAATACGGGTTATAACATCACTAGTAGTTCCAAACAATCTTAATACGGGTTATAACATCACCAGTAGTTCCAAACAATAGGAATAGAGGTTATAGTATAATAATAAGTTTCACATAATTTATGAGTTACAAATGAACTAAATAGAGTTGATAATGTCATAATCAGTTCTAGAAAACGGAGTTGAAAATATAAAATAATGACATAATGTATATAGAGTTTGTCTTTTCTTTAAGAAAATCGAAACGTCTTGACTGAGTTTATAATATCCTCAGATAAATCTAGATGAATTTTATAATGTCTCCATTGAAAACAACCTGTATAGGGCTTATAACATCACAATGCGTTCTAAACAATGTGCATAAAGATTACAATATCGACAGATGTGGCAAACAAATAGTTAAGAAGTTATGCAATCAGAAGTTTTATATAATCTGTGTAAAGTTTGTCCTCTCCTCAAGAGGACAAACAAATCTCGATAGGGTAGGGTTTACAGTACCACCAGGAATTTCAAAAATCTGCAGAAGAGTTTTAATGTTACCAGGGTTTCAAGCAAACGGTTTGTTTTGTCGGTGTTAAACAAAAAGCTACACATTGGGCTATATATGCTCTGCCTCCATGGGTATAGAAACTCAACTTTTAGCATAGTAAACCTACTGGTTGACCACTGAGCCTTTGAGGGTGGGAGGTGCAAGCAAAAGGAGTTTCGTATAATCTATGTAGGGTTTGATTTGTCATCAACAAAATAAATATGTGAATAGGGTTTATAATGTTACAAGTAGCTCCAAACAATCTATACAGGGTTTATAATACTATCAGAAATTTCAAATAATCTCTATAGGATTATATTGTCACCACAAATTCCAAACATTCTGGATAAGGTTCACATTATCACAAATAATTCCAAACTTTCGGGAATGGTCTATAATGTCACCAGGCGTTCCAAACAAAATGAAGGAAAGATATAGTTTTATCAGGAGTTTTGTAATCTATGTAGGGTTTGTCTTGATATTAAAAAATATCTAATCTGGATAGGACTTGTAACGTCATCATGAGTTCTAAACAATCTAGATGTGGTTTATAATGTTCCAAGGAGTTCCAAAAATTATGGAAAGGATTTATAGTGTTATCAGGAGTTCGAAAAACTCTGTATAGAGTTTATACTGTCAGTAAGAGTTCCGAAACATCTGGATAGTTTTATAATGCCAGCAAAAGCTCCAAACCAACGTAGCAGAAACTAGAATACATTCAGAAATTTCATATAGTCTAGATAGGATTTGTTTTGTCATAATGAGAATTACAAAATCTGGATAAGATTTATAATGCCACCAGGAGTTAAAACACACTTGAATATGTTTCACAATACCATTAGAAATTCTAAGCAATTTGGATAGTACTTATGATAACACCAGGTATTCCAAACATTCTGGATAAGGTTTGTAATAGTACCAGCAGCTCCAAACAATAAATATAATATTTATAATGTCACTAGAAGTTCCAAAGAATTTGGATACGATCTATAGCCAAACCAGGAGTTCCAGTCTATTTGAAATATGTTTATTATATTACCTTGAGGCCTAACCAATCTATATAGGGTTTATAATATCACCTTGAGTTCTAAATAATCTATATAGGGTTTATAATATTACGTGGAGTTCTAAACGATCTATATAGGGGTAATAATACCACCAGGAAATCCAAAAAATCTATATAAGGTTCACATAGATTATTGGAATTAGTGTTCACCTTCTATGAAATATATATTATTGTGTTCAGTACTTGCTTTACAAGAAATGTTAATTATTGTGTTTAAGGTTATTTATAGACAATATTAATTGTTGTGTTTAGGGTTATTTACAGACAATATTGTTCATTATTGTGTTTAGTGTTCAATTTACAGGAAATGTTCATTATTGTGTTTAGTGTTCAATTTACAGGAAATGTTCATTATTGTGTTTAGTGTTCAATTTACAGGAAATGTTCAATATGGCTTACGAATTAGGAGCTTCCATTAACATTGGGAACAGGCAAGGACTGACCCCGTTGACATTAGCAGCTAAACTGGCCAGGAAAGAGGTAATCATAGAATCCTAGTGATTCAAGTAGTAGAAAAGCAACTTTCTGATCCTGTTAATTCGCTCTTTTCAGCTGCTTTAAAAACACATTTCTCCAGATTGTTATACTAATGATTAAACATATTTATATATACGTTTATAATAATATTAGCTGTCGCCTTTCACTGAATGGACTTTGAGTCATATCATTTTTATAAGTGAACACAAAAATCGGAACCGAAAACATAATTTTTCTTGAAAATTATGTAAATTTGTGCAACCTGAAGAACAAATATCCTAATTCTGAAAGTAAAAACAAAACAGAAAATATTAAATCTTGCATACATTTACAGTAGTCTTTAACTAAACCTGGTTGGTTGGGCTCTAGTTATGTAGTTGTTCGTTTCAAATCGATAAATGAATATCGATAACAGTGAATAATTTTGGAAATGTTACTTAGGAAAAATGACACAATGTATTCCTTCAGTTATTGTAAATATGGTAAAGAAATTAAACACAGTCCACGTTTACAACACAATGAATGATGAAACCAATCTTTCAGAAATAATCTTGCTAGCATTAGAATTCAAATGTGATATCAAAATTAAATAATGAAAATAAACATTTAGAATATAATAAAGTCACGAAGTCATTTTCGGAAAATAGAAAATACTCAGTTAAAAATAAATGATAGAAATAGTCAAACAAAAGTGTTACTTTTAAATATCTTAGATTGAAGAATTAACGACTCAACACCAATCAGATGATTCAGTAGAAAAGGAGGTATGTGTTAAATGCATTGAAGGAACACAATTAACGTATTCTGGTAGATTATGGAATCTTTAATATATTTGTTGGTTAAAATATATTCATTTTAGACGAGTTCAAATTTCGTTATCAGATTTGAAAAACTTAATTTAGTTAGGTAATATAAAGTGAACTAACGTTTGGCGCTTTTAGATTTTCATCCACATCTTGAAGATCCAAAGAGAGATCTACTGGCAGCTGGGGAGTATAACATGTGCAGCTTATCCTCTTGAAGAGATCGACACTATTGATAATCATACGGGGGAAATAAATAAAGTGTCAGCACTGAACCTCGTTGTTTATGGGGTTTGTATAACAGTTTCTTTCTAAGCAACTGCAGATTAGACTTTTGTTATATTTATCCCAATCACACGAGTTCACCATGATTATATGTGTGTATTGGCTATTTATTTCACTAAGACTAGCTTCTTGTTACTCAAATATAAAATGATTCCAGTAGGTCAGTTTATCAATACAACATTAAGATTGGTTTCTGTATGTGACTCTATGACACACACAAAAACTCGGCCATTTGTTTTCAAGATTTGGCAAGCATTTGTGTAACGTATATATGTAGAATTTTGAAAGGTTCAAACGTGAATTATACGTTCATATTGACTAAGAAAGGTGTACCTGGCCTGCTGGGGCATCGTTAAATTTGCAGAGTTTAATGTTAAAATTTCTGGTTTGATTCATCATGGTAGACAGTGCAGATAGCCCGCTCTTGTTTAGCTTTGAGCCGAAAACAGCAATGGAAGGATTATTTTACTCTTGATAAATATATTGCAATTTTACAAATTGCAATACAATGGGCAACTTTAGTCATAACAGAAAAAATAGTATAAATATTGTGAAGTTCCAGCTAAAGAATGGTGATGGATGGCCGCTAAGTTACGTCTCCAAAAATACGGGGCTCTAATCCTAGATTAAAAATTAATGATAACCAAAATTACGTTGCTCAAATCCTAGATTAAAAATTAATGATAACCTAACTTACGTTGCTCAAATCCTAGATTAAAAATTAATGATAACCTAACTTACGGGGCTCTAATCCTAGGTTAAAAATTAATGATAACCTAAATTACGGGGCTCTAATTCCAATTTCTGAATAAAAGTGAAAGATGACTAAAACCACGAGGCTCAAATCCCGGAATAAAAATGGAAGACAATAAAAAATACGAGGTTTAAATCCTGGAACAAAAATATATGATGATCAAAAGTACGGGGTCGAATTTAAATCCTCGAATAAAAATGAAAGGAAACCGAAAATATGCGACTCGAACTTTCGAATATGGATGAAAAATATACATGATGTTATAACCCGTATTAAGATTGTTTGGGACTACTGGTGATGTTATAAC